GTCCCTATGACCTACATAATAGATATACATGAATATTTGAAAAAACTTTTTTATGACACATACCTCAAAATTCACTTATTTTAAAAAAATAAGTCAATTTAACAGAGAACAGGCATGTTTCACAGTTGGCTGGTAGATTAAAAACCAGAAACTTGTCACTGAAAGGTAAAAAGTTTCTAGTTTTTGAGTGAGGCTACACCCCCACGCTGCCCACTGCAACCCTCATTCCTAGCAACAGCTAGATTGCATCGCTTTGAAAGGCGTAGTGCTCTGTGGTAGAGCCCACGATCACCCATGCAGAGTGATATGAGTCAGCAATAACTGCTCACATTATCAAATGTTAAATTAGCTTTATCTGCAGATCCTAAAATCGTCTCTGCCTGTTTGAACATCGTCACAAGAAGACAAATCATCTTCTACAGTCAGGTCCTGGGCATACTTGTTTTAATCGTAACAGTGTCAAGTGTGTAAATGAGGACATTACTGGATGCCACGTAATATTCCAGGATATGCCATTGTTTCCATGCTGAACCAACCACAGAGAAGAGACACAACTGAAACCCAAAAACATCAGATCTTTATAAAAATTAAAGTGGCTGCCTGCAATAACCATTGTTACGTGCTTTGCATTGGGACCCTCTTCTTTCTCCTCTCCTCTGTTTTTGTAAAGGAGCAGCAGTGTTTAGTAGCAGAAAGATGAGTATGAGAGTAATGACTCATGAAAGAGGGGGAGCTGAACACGAAGTTTTGCAGCCTAGAGCCACCCACGCTGATTAGTCACCAAATACTACCCCACCACCTCTACCATTACAAATAAAGGAACACATAAATGTGTGTGTCTGTGTGTATATGCATTGTAGTTTACCTTCAACAGGTAGGAGGGCAATAACAAACTAAAAAGCCAGCAATTAAATTTGAGAAATACTCTAACTCCACAATATTCATGTCAATATGAAAAGCAAACATTAAAAAAAATGTGCTTTCAAGGAACTCAGCCTGCCCACCTGAGGCTTGTAGTGATTTGACAAAGGGTAAAACCTGTTGTGTAACTTGATGGTGGCTCTCTCACTTTGTTGACCTACTTCAACTTCAGGCTCTGCACTCTCACATAAAACAGGGGAAGGTGACGTAGGTGTTGAAATGGCAGTGAGATTTGTGAAACAAACAGCTAAGTTTTCACCTTCATCATTATCATGGCTGAAACTGAAATATAAATGTTTAAGAAAAAGTGGATGAACGTTACCACACAGAGGAAACTTGACAGTGCTGTTGAAATAACATGGATTTATTTTTTAATGTGTTCTTCCACACATGTGACAGGTGAGCTGTTAGATTGTAGTATTTCATTAATGACAAAATCACATTGTTTTGATCATGTTCTGGAGAGTTTGTGGAAGTGAGTTTTTACATTTTGTTTTATCAAGTTATTTATTTATTTGTTTGGTCATTTAAATTCAGAATAAGTCTGGCAATTAAAAACAAAAAGAAAAAAGTCCTCATAGGTGCTGAACTTCCCAGTGCAGTTAAAAACTTGTAAGTTTATTAAAAGAAGATTAAGAACAAAGTTTACAATGTGCAGCATCAATCCATTTTCTTGTCAACATAACCATGAAAAAAAGATGTGGTCACTTCAGAGATGTAAATGACAATGACATAACTACTGGTTCTTTGAAAAGAGCAATCAGTCAAAGAGTCACCAGATCTCCTGATTCTTGCTGTATTTTATATGTTTTGTGGTGCCTACTTTATTTTGTGTTTTGTGTATCTTAATCATCTATTTTGACACACATTGAAAACAATCTTGACTCAGACATTATTGTGCTTTGTGTTAATTCTAAACAGATAAACATCGCATCAAAATCACACAGGCCATCATCAGTTTTCCTGATGATGCTTTCAAAAGTCCTTTTTTCAGTAACTTTAGCATCTTCAATATGAGAAAGAGACAGGAAACTGAGTCACTGATGAACACGAGTCATCACCCTCTTGTCCCTCTGTGTCCTCTGTGCCAATGGAGAGAAGCCAAACTGTGTTTCATTATTCTAATAACAGTGACAATAAAGATCTAATCTAATCTAACTTCCAGCTCTAAAGTGGAAATACATCCATTTTTTTCCTGTTCCTCCTTTTGATTTACTGAAAACTAATCACAACGGGAAAAAAATCAAAATGACAACAAAAACCTGACGTCTTCAGTTGAATCAAGTAGGTCAGCAGCTATGAGTCTCTTCTTTCCTTCTGACACAAAGTGAAAACTGAATCACAGAGAAGCAGCAGGTTCACCTATCCAGTCAGAGGCATTGTTAAGTGATCAGAAATGTTGGGTTCTTTACCTACACAAGTACATTTTATAAGACAGATTTCTAAAGAATTTTAGAACAGCACCTCGCAGAAACTTCACACTGAGAGCTGACAGCACAGGCAACTACACCCCCATGTTTCCTATTGCAAAACCACATTCATGTAAATACATCTACAGATTACAGTCCATTCAGAGGTGTAATGCTCTGTGGTTAAGTCCAGGCTCACGCAATGAGTGATATCAGTCAATTATAACTGCTCACATGATCAAACGCTAGTTTCACATGTACAGCTCTTGAAATCATTTCTGCGTTTTTCACCATCTTCATCATCCACAACATCATCTTCACATCATCTGCTCTCTGCTTGGGTTGTCTTTCTCCCTCTTCCCATTCTTTCCCTGTCATATAGTTCTTCTCCAGCTCTTTCTGTTCCTCACTTATTCTCTTTTAGAGTAGTAGTTTGTTTCACAATAAAAGCTTACTCTAAAAGAGCATGTAATAGAAAAAAAAATGATAAATTTTGTGTAAATATAGAATATAATTACAGTTTGATCCATAAACAGAAGAAATAAGAAAAAGTCAGGTTTCTTCAGCAGATAATGTGACAGTTGTTGACTTTTTGGATTATTTGCAGTGTTTTCAGTGTTTGATAAACTTTTGCACTTTGTGCTGCCCAAAAGTGTCATATTATTACTCATTATGGTGTAAACCAGGAATCACCGACAGCTTTTGAGATGGATTTTTTTTAAATAAATTCATTAATTGTCAGTTCTTGCTTGAGGTAAGATGCTTTGATTAATCAATCAACAGCAGGACAAAATAACATGAAGACACTTCCAAAAAACAGCTGATGGGAGCAGAAAGGCTCCTAAATAAACTTGAGATCTGTGTGTAACTGCTGGATATCTGAACAGATGGATTTGTAGTCACTGTGCCACCTACGCAAATGCTCATATTATTGTTTTTATTTTGTTTTTATTCATTTGTTGTCTTTGGTTCTGGTTGTTATTTCCTCAAGAAGACGCAAGACTAAACCATTAAAGAGAAATACTGCAACTGAGCTTTTCACTATCCATGTCAACATGAGAGCCACAATTCACAACAAGCTGCTTTCAAGGAACTCTGAGGTTTGTGTTCAACAAAGGATAATACCCCCTAAGTGATATATGTTTTTACGGTGGTTACCAACTCTCAAGTTACGCGGGATCGTACATGTAACAGGTCGGCTGTTAGTTAGATTTATGTGGTAGAACTGTTTGTAAAAAACCAAATTAATTCTTTATCACTTATCTCACCTTTCAATTTTATGTGTAACATTTAAATTACTGTAGTTATTATGGCAACTTGTGAGAGGTAATAATGGTTCTTTTTTGGTATTTTGGTGTATATACCAAAAAAAAACTGAGTAAAAAAGTTGTTGTTAGAAGACATTTTAAGAGAAACCGTAGCCTGTCACACACTCACATCCCAGAGAGACCGAAGAACACTACCACAACCAGAAACCAGGGTCAGGCTTGTGTTTTTGTGTTAGTTTCTAGAGGTAGCTCAGGTTTCAGAGCTTTGGATGGTGAACATCAGCTGTTGATTCAAATAAGCTGGTGGTGAAACTTCAACTTCTGAACTTTGAATAGCAAGTTTAAAAAGCAGGTTCTCCACTTGCACTGGCTCCACTTGTGAGGCTGTGTGGATAGGGAAAACCCACATTTGTCTCACACAAGCCCTGAGTGGCTGTGCCTACACAGGGCCAACAGCACTGTGTAGGCATGGAGATTACTACTTGAGGTCAGTGTTGTAGGTTGAATTCTACAGCTAAATGCTGATGGCAAGCGTATGACTGGAAACAGGTTTATACAAGCCTGATTCAATTCTAAGAAATTGGCAGAGGTTGGAGGAGAAGTGAATAAACCAGTTAAATAATTTTGGAATTCCCCATCTGTGCCGTCACTAAACCTGCTGCTAAAGAAGGCGCATCGTTGTTCAGTGCATCAAGGTTTTGTTACATTAAAATTAACTGCAGTTAATTTTTTTTTAAATTGCAACACAAATTGATTTCTGAGCCATAAGAATAAAGAGAGGAAACGTTAAAGTTCATACTTTATAAATCAGAAACAGCAATGTTTGAAAGACCTGTATTTTTAAATAAAATTTTGAAAAAAAAATGCAACCTCTTAAAAACAGCATTACCATAAATCAGCTATGATGACACTGGTTATTATTTTAGTCAAAGACAGCTGCCCTGTGTTGAGAAATCAGTTTTACCCTGGTTCTTTTCATTCCTCGAGCGTCCAGAGATGGCACCGGACTCAGTAGTTATTTTCATAAAACCTTTATTCATCTTCATTTACTCATCTTCATTTAAGCATGCACTTCTAGAAGGGAAGACGAGGCCGGTGTCCCTCTGCAAAAATCTTCACCCCTTTGTCTGTGAAACACAGTTTTATAGGGGCGACCCTATCATAAAAACCCCTACGGTGTGCCCCAAACTCTGTCTGTGTCTATGTGCACGAGCACATGAATGCCTACATGTGCACGTTCCCATGTGTCTATGTGAGTGCTCGTGTGTGCCTGTGTGCGCATACCTGTGTGTATGTGTGTACACATGAGTGAGTGTGCGTGTGGATGTGTGTGCGTGACAGTTAAAACACTGTGGGTGTAGGTGACTCCCTAGAGGTCATAAAACCCCTCTCCCTTCCAGACCACAGTTATCCAGTTACAAATGTTGAGACCCCCACCCAAAAACATCCTCTGGGGAATTTCCACTCAGCATTAACTCTTCTCTGTTTTACTTTCACAGCTCAAGTGGGGGAGGGGTCTCCTACAATCTACTCCTAAATTCACGACACAATCAGCCTTTATTATATTGAGGGCAGTGTCAGTGTCTCTACAACAGTTCTACATTCTATGATAACACATTTCTAAACTCTAAATCAGCTAAATATTCTACACCTGCTCAAAGCACTTTAGTTATGACTGTAAAGTGACTGAAGGGCATTTTAAAGCTCACTAGATAAAAAAAAAAACATCTAACACTAAAAATATACTAAAATGTTTAAATCTAAAAATAGCTTTAAAACTAAAAATAGAAAACTTTACTTGATACCACTACAGCAAAACAAAACACAGAAAAGAACGTCGTCCTAAATGCTTCTCTGTGTCCTTGTACAGGTTTCCTCACAAGTAACTTGGACAGAAGATTTGCTCAAACAGTCACGAAATGCTCTACAGCAGACCACTTCACGCTTTTGAAGTTTGATCCCAGAAGTCAACTTTGGCATCAATGATGGTTGTTGTTTTTTCTGTATGTTAACTGTCTTGTTTAAACCAGAGGTTCAGCGTGACTCCAAACAAATTACAGGACATTGTGAAATGCTCCTGCTGCAGATCCGCCGTATCCACATGAGGCTGGAAACGTTGTTGCTTTGAATCCTTCAACAAAAAAATTAAGTGAAGTGGGTGATGCTTTCACCTCTGTAAATGTTTCCAATTTGTCCAAGAGTCACCTATGAAGCTGCACTCGCAAGCTGGAGTAAGAAAGAACAGACACACAGTTTTCCTTCATTTCCATCCTTCAGCCATGAGGCAAATGCATAAAATCAAAGATTCAAGTCTTTTACATCTGTTTTTTGACACTTTGACTCAGCGAACCAACATCCTGCGACTGCGACACAGAGCACAATAAAAAAAACGCTGACCCCAAATGGGATCAGTCGGCTCCGACGGGACAAACCACCTGTCAGGAAAAAACAAACGGAGATGAGATCTACTGTAGGACACAACATGAATGTCACATGTATTAAACTACCAAGCACATAAGTTACATAACAATGAGTTTGAATTACTGAGATATCACTGCTGATGGTCAGGACTGGTAGCTTTATTGCTTCACAGAAAGACAAGAGATCAGAGCTGCTTAAGGAAAGTACACTTCACTTCCTGTATGTGCTTCAAATTAAGAGGTGCACATGTTAAGGACAACACAGAGAGGGTGCCACCAGTGAGAGAAAACCACACCATAAAGATGATTTTGATCCAGCTGTAAACCGGTTATTTTAAGGCTTTTTAACTGTCTTGATTTGTTCCTCATGTTCTCACCTTTACTGTGAAACTCTTCTGCCAGATCAGGAGTTTGGAGAGTTTCAGGATGCAGTGGTGTCTCTGTTGTCGCAGTTTTAGCTGAATTTAAGTTTGGCAGAACAGAAGATTTTAAATTATTTACAATATATTCAAATATTCTTTAATGAGCAAAAACAAGTTGTTGGTAAAATAACCCAAGTACGCAGTAAGTTTAAAACCAAACAACAAAAATCTTTTCAGTCTAGCTCACCAACAATCAGATGAACAATTGAAGACTTTGTTTGACTCTTTAACTTTGGGATGAAACATCTGTATCTTCCTTCATCTTCTTGTGTCACATTAGTGATTCTTAGTGAGATGTTTCCTTCTCTCAGGC